AAGTAACGTTTACTTTACTAGTAAGACCGTACCGTTCGTACTTATTACTCCTAACCTTAAGTTTTGTTTACGTAGGTTTAGGTTAAGTAAGTACGGAAGTAAGTAGAGAGAGAGAGAGAGAGAGAGGATGTGAGAAAAAATAAACTTGACAGCCAAAGAAAAAAAGAGAATGAGAGCAATAAATAAGGCTAGTAGGTTTTTAAAAAATCAAATAGTTATTTGGTATTTCAAACATCACACAACAAATTCACTTAAGTTTAAACAATATTTTGTATTTTGGACAAGGGACAACTTAGAAAAAAACTTGCCTTGAGAGGAAATAGTTCTCGTAATTTCAAGGAATTCATAAGACCCGATAGTGTTAGTACATAATTTATCCTAAAAATATTTATTCTATCAAAAATACTTTTATTTGAAACAATTTGAATTACAAATCAAAAAGTATCTCAATAAAAAAAAAAATACATTGAGTACATTCAATATATGTATATATGTACTCCATACGCCCAAGAGCAGCCTAACAAAACTCGAATATAAAATTTGAAAACGTGAGCAAAGTACCGAACACGGCGTGCATCTAGAGAGAGACAGAAAGCTCTCATCCAAATAGAGAGAGAAACCAACAAATTACGGGTCACCGTTACTGCCCTCTGCCCTTCAAATTCCACCTGTTCACATAAATTCAAGCCGCACATGACCTAGAGAGAGAAAGACTTCTTTAGAGAGAGAAAGAGAAACGGTCAACGTACATCTTAGATTGGCCGCCAAAACTCTCGCCAAACACGTCCGCATTCCTCTATTTCTCTCTCTCCAAAACCCTCTCAGCCCTCGCCGTTGTCGCCAAAACTCCGACCATCTCCTTCATCGGAAATGTTCCTTTCCCGGTCGATCCTGCCCTAACCCTAATCAGGGGTTTCGGCCATGGATTCCTAGCTGGAGACTCATTCTCCGGCGACAGGGAAACCTAACACCCTGATTTCCGTCCATCAATGGCTCCACCTCTGGTTTCACGGCCAGATTCAGGCCGGCGTCAGCCGTTGTTGGGGAAAGAGACCTCTTCGGCTTCGAGATTTGCAGAGACAGCGGGCGGCACCATGGCCTCGTGCGCTGCTGTTTGCTGTTGTTGTCCTTGCGGCCTCGTCAATCTCTTGGTTTTAGCCATGGTCAAGTTACCGGCCGGTCTTTGCAAGAGAGCTTTGAGGAGAAAGAAGCGAGAGAAAAAGCGCAGGAAGGACGTGCTTATACCTAATCGATCGGAGTTGCAGGTTCACCCTGTGAGACCAGCCCCAACTAGGCCGGAAAATTCGCCGGAAATCGCAGGAAATTGGCCGGAAAAGTCACCGGAAAAGCAGGTGGAGGAGATGGACGCCATGTGGGAGAAGATGCACACTGGTTTTTGGAGGAGTATCTCAGAGAGAGAACAGTGAAACACCACTTTCTCTCTCTAAAATACGCGGTATCCGTCGCATTTCTCTCTCTCAATACGCGGCAATCGCCATCCTCTTTTTTCATATAAGAAATATAAACATTTTTCCATTTTGTGTGTATTTTTTCCATATTTGATTACGTAAGGACCTACATATACTATACACTATACAACATTGTATAGTGTATTTTTCCCATTTATTGATTCTTGAAATTGTTCTTTGGATGCCTCTTTGTAGTATATTATTAATTTCAAGCCTTGAAGTGTATTAACATTTTATTTTATTTTTTTTTATATTTCTCTTGGATTTTTCTTTTCGTAGTTTCTTCTTTTCTTAATTTCATCTCTTGCCTGGAATCTGTATAATCAAAAAGAAATTATTTGGAAATTTTGTCCAAAAACTTTTTCACAATAATTTTGCAAATTTTGGAGTTTATTTTTTCTGTTTTTCCGGATAGTTAGTACTAAAGTGTCCTTACAAATGGCAGGAAAGAAACTCAAGGTGATGGGTTTTTCTCGATGACTAATTCAATTTTTAAGGTTTAATTTAAGTTTTCTTAAAAGAACACACATTTATTTAAAAGATTGGATCAAATCACAACTTCAATGAATTAATTAATTTTCTCTGAATAGATTTTTCTGTTACTAATTCAATTTCCATTATTAATTACCCAAAAAATTTTCAATTTCCATGGTTGGTTAATACTGATTATTTTGATTTTCAGATAAACATGTATATTTATTTTGGGAAAATTTTATTAATTTCCAAAATACTTTGCAGAATTTGAAACTCCCCTATGTTTATATTTTATGCTGATATTATTTTTTTCGTGAGTTTTTATTTTACTAGAATACCACTAGTTTTAGTGAGAAAAAGGATCACAACTTAAAAGTTTCAAATGGACTGTTTTTCTTTTTTCTTTTTTTTTTGTTGGTAAATGAACGGGTTTGAAGTTCCCATATTTTGAAAAAATAAAAGATATAAAAAGTTAGGCATTAGTAAGCTTAAAATATTAAAAAGGCAAATACATATGGGACTCATTTAAATACTGAAAATTAATGATCCTTTTCAAGAAAAATTTTATCACGAAATTTTCTTTTATTGTCCTAAAAATGGGAAGAAACGGGTTCCACCATATTAATAGAATTCCGGCTTGCCTCTTCATGTTCACAGATATTTCAAGGCTTTCACAAAGATTTTCAAATCACATTTTTGCACTCTTTACAGAAACCGCACCCATATGTAATAGAAAAAAATTATATACAGTCAAGGCTCTAAACAATCAAATTATAGCCCATTTCAAAAAGTTCACTACAAGATGTTGTTTCAATGCTAAAATATCCTCAAATTGATCGTATCAAGATGTATGGAAATGAGACAAAAATGAATTTTAAATTTTGAAAATGGTGCATCTTATAACGTTTTTTGAAAATGGTGCATCTTGTACAGACAATTTTCAAAATTTTTAAGTTTTCATGCTCCATCTACACTATTTTTGTTGCTTAAAATTTTGTAGTCAGAGATAAACCATACTTGAACGCTGTATCACAAAGATTTCCAGCAATGAAACAACATTTCTAATGTGAAGTGCTTAATTTGATTGTTTAGACGCTTGGCTCTATACAAACCGCATCGGTTGTGTTATTGCGTTAAGACGACGTGAGTAGGATGCACAGTCTTTTTCTATTTCGGGAAATATTGCGTACGTAAAGTGTGTAGAATGGGAGGCAGACAAGCAGCTCATGCACTGTCCATTCAGAGAAAGGACGGTCATGATGAATACTTGTAGGGGCACGACGGAAATTAGGATATGCCATGTGCGTACTGCGTTTTTCTGTTCCATCAGGGTACTGTACTCTCTGCACCTTCTTATGTTTTCAAGAGAGAGAGAGAGAGAAAGGGACAGTGTCTGCACCTTCTTATGTTTTCAAGAGAGAGAGAGAGAGAAAGGGACAGTGTCCCTTACGTTTTATTTTCATGTGGGGCACGGGCAATCACTTTACAAAAGGACTAACGGGAATCTTCCCTTGTATGTAGGGGCATCTCTTTTTGGACTCTTCTTTTGGACCTGACATAAGGTTGTCCTTGCCTTAATGGTTTAGAGAGAGAGAGAGAGAGAGAGAGATTTATAATCATGTTTTTGTAGGGATGCACGTGATCTATAGGGCACCACTCTTGAGGAGACCATGAAAATGGTTTGGAGGAGGGGTACCCTCTTTGTTTTCAGGGGTACCTTTTTTTTGGGTTTTTCAGAGACAGGGAAAAAAATTAGGAAATAGGGATTTGGCATGGTGTCGAGTCCTGTTATGATTGATGGTTTAGGTTTCTTTATAGTCTTATGTAGTATTCAAAAATCAGGCGATGTTTTATTCAAATCATTAATTTGGATGGGAACCGGTCCGGTCTGAAATGGTATATAGCCTTAGTTCCCCTTAAATCCCACTATGTAAAACTATTTATTTTATTTTATTAACTTTTTTTAATACATTTATATCATCGTTCTTACCGGATCTAGATTGCCAATCTAGTGATCTGACACAGATCCGACCATCTCCTTGCCTCACTAAGTTAGGTTTTAGAACACTACTCTCGTCTAAGTCTTCAAAAAAATATATTAAATGATAGGAACCAACAAAACTCCACTTGTTCCTATGTGCTTTGTCTTAGTGAACTTCGCTGAGTTTTCTTACAAAGAGACAGGGATAGAGAGATTTTTGTATGAGGTACAGCTAAAAAATCCCTCTAAAAGGTTGTTTTAATGTTGAATAAATATCTATTTGATCATTTCGATGTCGATATGTATGGATATGGAGAAAATAGAGATTTTATGTTAAAAAATGGTAAATCTGCCAACACATTTTATGAACCGCCTATTTTCAAGATTTTCATGCATTTATATATCTATTTTATTCGAATTATAATTAGATATAAAAATAGATTATCACTTTTAGTAATTTTTTTATATTAATCGGACCATTTATATTTGGTTCAAAGATGTCACAATCGCTTTTAGCCATTAAATGTGAAATCCAATAGATCAAAGTGTGTTACAATACTTAGTAAGTAGTATGAATTACCACAAAGCCTAAAATGTTGAACCCTTCAAGGATTTCATTAGATTGAAATTTGAATTGTAGAGATATGGGGGCTGCTTGATAAAGTTTTGAACTAAAAATAAAAAATTATAATATTTTGATGGCGCAAAAAAAAACTTTCATGAAATACATGGTAAAGGGAATTGAGGGTGGGGCACGGGTGGTTCGAGGGGTTGTGCTTCTTCATAACTGAAAGAAAGACCTATGTGACCTTTTGGCGGTGAATATAAATTATTATTATTATTATTTTTAATAATTACCCATTTTGCTTTGGCAAACAAAATCACTTACAGATGGTCTTATTACAATCAATAAATATTTCAAAATAAAGGCAACTTAACAATAAAATAAAACTCGATCAGTTGATGTCAATTATAAACTAAACACTATGCTTGATAATAAAGATAAATTTGTATGAAATAAAAGAAGATGCCGGAGATTACCTCAACCAGACTTATTACACCCTATACCGAGTCACCAACATCCGATGCCGATAGCACGGGATCAGTAGTCTAGGTTCAACATCAAACCGAGAAAGCCAATTTCGACCAAACTAGGTAATCCACCCTTATTTCTTTACAAAACCATAACTCTAGAATAATTAGGCCAAAACCGTCATTTTTTCAACCCTTAGGTTATATTAGGTCATGAAAGAGAAGGAGAATCTCTAGGGTTGGGGAGTACCCCTTAGGGTCTTTAGGAGAGAGGGTTAGAAAGATAAGAGGGTAGAGAGAGAAAGTAAGAGAGGAGTGAGAGGGGCATGGCCCCTAAGGAGGAGAGCAAAAGAGTTTATGGGAGAGAGATGTGTGTTGAGATAATGGGACAACACCCCTATTATAGTAAAATTTAGGTCTAAGGTTTCTTTAGGGTTTCTCATAGTTTGCCTCTTTCTTAAGATTGAATATGGATCGTTGATCAAGATGACTTGTAGGGTAAGAGATCTGAGCCATCCAATCTATAAATGGGTCATCAACATTATGGAATGTGCATGGACCATTATCCCCCTTTTCTTAAACTATTTTCCCACTAATATAGATTAAATAAATTAAATCTATTAAAATTTTATTCATTTCATAGAGTAGCATATTCCATCTCATATATTCCATAAAAATATGATAAGTCAAGATATACTTTCAATAAACAAAATAAGATATAGTCAATATTTCCCTTCCAAGATTTGACTACATGCTATAAAACAAAGTTACCAAAGTCAAATAACGTCAACACAAAGCAACAAGAGCCGGCATCCCAGGGTCGGGCGTGCCACCCATATGTGGCACATGGGGCCCGACCCAATGCCCACATGGTGAGCACATGTGCACTATGGGCCCTCTTGTATTTTTATAAGCATTTTAAAATTAAATAAAACAATTTACAACATCTATTTGAATTTTTATAACTTTATAAAATCAATAATTGTATTTTTATAAGTCCAAAAATCATAAATAAAATATTAAAAGATTCATAAAAATTCAAATAATAAATCTAAAATAATTTCAATAATAAAATGAACATAATTAAATTAATATGATGGGAAATGGATCCATATGGTTCAGGAATTCCATCAGCGATCATGGGGCACTCCACCTTCAACTGTGGACTGCAAACCACACTTGCTTTATCGAACCGACCCAATGTTTCTCATGACCTATAGTCCAAGCAAGGGCTCATTAACAGGTCACCAAAGTCTAGCCGATGAGTCAAAGGGTTGCAATCCCAGTCTGTAGATTACAGGTCCTCCTCTAGAGACGAGTCATGGTCGCCACGACCTGATGCGACCACAACTCTATAGTGCATAGGGATATCTCTCGTACATACATACGTTTCACCCTAAAAGGGTGGATATCTGGCTTTCCCAAATGATCTATCGATATGCATACCGTATGATAGAACATCGATGAAGTTTTGGCCCCCGTCTCTGTAGGCGTACTATCATATACAAGGGTCATACAGTCCCTCTGCTTACTCATCCAGACATAAGCTCCGACCTCATGAAGGGCTAACCCAAAACCCTTTTCGGTTTATTCTCTATGCCCAGGTACCTTGGGTGTTCCAACCGACTGGCCTAGATCGTCAAACACAGTCTGGTATCAGCAAACATCATTTGCTTAGTATGATCCTCGAGGGAGCACACTCCCACTGAGTTTATGTTCCATTATAATAAATGTTTTTCATTACACACTCATAAAGCCTTTAAAGGCCACATAAACCCAACAATAACAACCTCCATCCTTTATTTTCACAATTAATATATGAAAAAAAAAAAATGCAATGAAACTATTTACCTTTGATACAAAATGGTCACAATTAATCTTTTGACCGATAGGATGTGACATTGGTTGTTGCATTTATTCCATTTACCAAGCTCAAAGTTCAAAACGAATTTTTTCGAACTTTTGGACATACCCAAGCTATCCAATTTCTATTTCACATTAGATGGTTATAAGTAATTGTGACCTCCTTGTACCAAAGGTCGACCCGTCCCCCCTTACCCCACTCCCTCAAAAAAAAAAGAAATCTTCTTTCTTTGCCACGTTTGGCACTAATAGTTTGGCTAGTTTACTATGGTGCTATGTCGGAGTTAGATTAGGTCCTGAATATCCAAGTTCATGATATTTAGGGGTAGTTTGGGTACATGTAAATTTATTACGTGACAATAGATTACAAAGAAATATGACATTTACACTGTTTGGTTATACTTTAATAATAAGGAAATGGAAAGAAATTATCTGAGATTTTCAAAAAAATCATGAAATCCATTACGAAAGACATTTACATTGTTTGGTTATACATTAATAATAAGGAAATAGAAAGAAATTACCTGAGATTTTCAAAAAAATCACGAAATCCATTATGCGCGGTCGGGGTGAAAAATCTATTACTAGCTTGACGGGGAATCTTTAAAAATCTTTGGCGTACATCTCTCTGCCCTATCTTAGCTTAAAACAAACATTTCCCTCTCTCAATTATATGTTGTATTGTATAATTATTAAAGTAAAAAGTGAAAGTAAGGGATATCAAAAGGAGAATTTAAATTGATTTGAATAGGTGTAGGAGGAAAATTTTCTACTATAATCATAATAAAAAAAATTTCTACATCCCTCTATCCCCAATTTGAGTTGTAGACTTCATCTGACTCTCATATAAAAACAAAAAAATTTAATAATTGGTAAATGAAAGTAAAGGAAAATCTAAATTGATTTGAATAGTTATAGAACTTGATGACATAATAAAGAAATTTCTACATCCCTCTATCCCCAATTTGGGTTGTAACACACCATCTCGTATAAAAACAAAAATAATAAAAATAATAATTGGCAACCGATGAGAAATTATACAACACAATCATAATTAAAAATTTCACACAACATAATCCTCATAAGATATTAGTAAAAGCTCAATTGAAATAAGATATCTCTTTAGTCTCCTCCAATAATTCAAAATTTTCTACTGCAATTACTAAAATTTCTAGTTTACTAATCAAACTTCTCCCCATTTTTTAACTTATACTATAAAGATTTTGATTTTGATATTATAAATTTATTGCTTATTTAAAATTATATATAAAAAGATATTCATATATAGAGAGATATTTGAAAGATTTTTATAAAAATAAATAAATAAATAAAACTAATTACAATAAAATCATCTTATTCTAATCGTATTATTCCAATGACTTATAAGGTTGAAACCATGTCTAAATATGTTAGCCGGCCAAATTTAGAGAAAGCGGGAATCGAAAGAGAGAGCGTGGTCGCAACTGTGAATAGTTCTCGAAGCCGTTGAAAGAACATGGTGTTTTCAAATGGTGGGCAGCCATCCATTAAGCAAGAAGCTCACAACAATCAACACTTTTTCTCTCTTAAAATCATGCACCACCATCAAACACCTCAAGCAAATCCACGCTCAAATCCTCACAGCCGGTCTCTCTCCGGACACACTTCCTCTTCTCCCCACTCCGCTCGCCTCCTTCTCATTGTCGAATCCCCTCGATATCGACTACGCTCTCTCCCTCCTCCACCCATTCGGCCCAACACAAAAGCAATTCATATACAATACCCTCATAAGAGCCTCCTCTAAAGGGCCATTTCCCCAACAAGCTTTCTCTCTCTACACCCACATGCTGAAAGCAGGAGTTTCACCAGACCATCTCACTTTCCCTTTCGTCGTGAAATCTTGTGGTCGCATTTGTTCTCTTAAAACGGGTGAAGCCATTCATGGAAGTGTTGTGAAATTTGGTCTTGAGATTGATTCGTTCATAACCAGCTCCATGATCACAATGTATGCGAATTGTGGCAGTCTTGACCGTGCCCGAAAATTTTTCGATGAAATGCTCAAGCCAAACTTGGTCTCTAGCAATGCTATAATGGCTGCCTATGTGAAATCGGGGGAGTTAGCGAAGGCTCGACGAGTGTTTGATGAAATGCATGAGAGGGATTTGGTATCATGGGGTACATTGATTTCGGGCCATGTTCATTGTGGTGAATCAAAGGAGGCCCTCGAAGCCTTCCGAGCCATGAGAGATGATGGTTTTAGGGCTGATGAAGTCACCCTTGCAAGCTTGCTCTCTTCATGCTCAGAACTCGGTGCTTTAGCTCAAGGCAAGCAATTCCATGCTTATGTGTATAAACACCATATACACCTTGACACCATTCTCGGAACATCATTAGTGGACATGTACTCCAAGTGTGGGGGGGTTGAAATAGCTTTTCGGCTGTTTTGCACGATTCCGAGCAAAGATACATTGGCCTGGAATGCAATGATCATGGGTCTTGCAGTGAATGGCCATGGAGAAACATCAATTGGGGTGTTTTTAGAGATGGAGAGAGAAAGAAAGAGACCCGACGAGGTCACGTTTGTCGGTGTACTATGTGCATGTAGCCATGCGGGGCTATTAGATGAGGGCTTCAAGCAGTTCGATCGCATGTCTTCCGTGTACTCGATCAAGCGTGGAGTAGAACACTATGGTTGCATGGTTGATCTATTGGGGCGAGCCGGTCGGCTCAAAGAGGCCTACAAGCTTATAGAAAGCATGCCTATTGAGCCCACTCCTGCAATATGGGGCGCTTTATTAAATGGGTGTTGTATACATGGGAACCTTGAGCTAGGGGAACAGGTAGGCAAGACATTGATCAAGCTCGAGCCCCATCATAGCGGTCGATATGTACTCTTATCGAACATATATGCAAATGCAAATCAGTGGGACGATGCAAAGAGGGTGAGAGAGATGATGAGAGAGAAAGGGCTTCAGAAGGCCCCAGGGTGCAGTGTGATAGAGGTGAAGGGCCATGTTCATGCGTTTGTGACTGGAGAGAAGGAGCACCCACAAATGAGACAGATCCATGCAATATTGGAGGAGGTGGGTAAGAGGCTTGCTCTTGCTGGTTATGCACCTGATGCCTCAAGGGTGTTGTTTGACTTAGAGGAGGAGGAGAGAGAGAATTCATTGCTATATCACAGTGAGAAGTTAGCAATGGCTTTTGGGATGATCAGTCTTGAGCCTGGTGTGCCTATACGTGTTGTTAAGAACCTTAGAGTGTGTGGGGATTGCCATTCAGCAACAAAAATGATGTCAAAGTTATTTGGCAGGAAAATTATTGTAAGGGATCGAAGTCGATTCCACCATTTTGAAGATGGTTCTTGCTCTTGCAAGGACTATTGGTAAGTAATAAATATCATCATCATCATAGTTTTTTTTCAATTAATTGGGGTCGGCTACATGAATTTTGGTTCGTTATTCTGCTCTGTTAAGATCCATAACCTCACTGATGCCATAAATTTTGAATTTCACGATGGAATGAAAGACGAAATTTGGGTTCCTTGTATGTTAATGGATATGACCTAAGAATGTTATACAGGTGTTAAAAAAAATAAATAGAAAAAGGGAAAAAGATACATATTCCCTTCTCAGAAATAATCATTCCAAATAAACCCCTTCCATGGAATCCTTCCAAGTTAGAAGAAAACAACGGTTAACCCCTTTTGCGCCTTTTCCATTATTCAAATTACAATTTTTATTTTTTATTTGTTTAATCACCTAATACAGTACTAATTACGAGATGTGATTTGGTTCAAGTAGAAGATGTTAAAAGGACAATGAGAAAGTCCAAAAGGACATAAATGAAAGTAGTAAAAAAATATATATAACTTATGGTCTTATCGAATGTATCGCCATTGGTAAACTGTATTAGAAGAATAGGATTCATATAGCCTTACCACATATAGTTGGTATAAGGTCACGTGATGATGATGATTTTTTTTCAATCACATGAGGCTATTTTTCTACTTAAGCAATTGATTGAGAAGTCTAGAGAGAAGAGAAAGGACCTTCATATAGTCTTTATTGTTTTACAAAGAGCATATGATAAGTTCCCTAGAGAATTAATTTGGTGGGTATTGGAAAAGAATGAACCTTTAAATGATATATTGACATAGTGAGAGACGTATATAAGGGAGCACTAACTAATGTGAGGACAACTAATGGAGAAACAAGTGAATTCTCAATCGTAGTAAGTCTGCATCATCAGCATTCAGCCCGAATCTCTTTATTTTAGCTATGGACGAGTTAACTAGGCATCTACAAGATGAGATAATGTGGTGTATACTATTTGAGAATGACAGCTTTAATTTATGAAAGATGGCATCCAACACAAAGTAGAACTTTGAAGGGGTACTCTAGATAATAAAGATTTTAAATTTAGCCAAATTAAGACAATATATGATATGCAAATTTAGTAATAACAAGAGTAGAAACAAAAAATAATTGAAGTTGACAACCAAGAAGTACCTAAAACAGATTTTTTTCGATACCTTAAGTCTATAATCCATGGCCCTTTCATTTAAAAAAGCTCCCTCTTTCTTTATTTCATTTATTCAAACATGAACATTTTCCTCTTTATTTCATTTATTCAAACATGAACGTTTTCCTCTCTCTAACAGCGTCCCTTGAACCCTCATGTCTCTCCCTCCTCACGTGAACCTCACAAGTTAAAATAGACCAATCAAATTCTATTTATATGATAGGGTTATTAGAAAAGAGAAAAATGATAAATGTTGCATTCTAGACAATGTCCTTTTTTTTTTTTTTTTAAGACTCTATATGATAGGGTTATTAGAAAAGAGAAAAATGATAAATGTTGCATTCTAGACAATGTCCTTTTTTTTTTTTAAGACTTGAAGGGAGTCTAAACAGTAATTAATGACGTAATTCTGTACAGTAATGGCGTGCCGCCGGTTTTGTGGCCAAATGATATATATTGCCGCCAGTTCTATGGCCAAAAGATGTAATGATTTGCCACTAGCCAATGACTCTTGCTCCTCCATCACAAACCAACACTGCTATATACGTTTCACGTGCAACTCGTATTGGTGCAGAAGACTATTTATCCTTACCAAATTTGTTCTGTGGGTTTGACGTGAGACAATTGTACTAAGATAATAGATAATAAAAAAATATGATATAATTATTAAATGGCTTCTTTGTATCACAATGTTTGACGTAATGGTTAGCATGTTGTTTTAGTTTGATTGATGTTGCAAGGTCAAATCTTGCCTAGGTTGCTATAGTTCTTTTACAAACAAATAAATATTTTTGTTTTACAAAAAAGAAAAGAAGAAAGGTATTACAACAAAATTTCTTTTTCTTGTCAAAAAATAAAATTTTATTGTAAAAAAATATAAAGTTATTGTATTGTAATCCATGTATGATGATATACTTAATCCATGATAATTCTTTGCTTATCCTTTTGCATGATGTAAATTAAATGGTAAACAATAGTTCATACAAGGAAAGAACATATCAATATTCGCATATTCATACAAAAAAATGAAAATTCTTAATGGCATACACTCATTTCTTATTGTATTTCTAAAAAACAACATTTATAATGAATTTTAATAATTTTTTCGATTTTTTTTTAAAGCTTAATTTGACCGATTCAGTCGATTTCGGATTCGGATCACCGATTCACCGATCCAGATAGGTTTTATAGATGCCCGATTCGGGTCACCTATTTGTTTTTTAAATCACTACTTAGAAGTATAATGCACCCGAAAAATCCAAAGATGCAAAGAAAAAAGAGTGTATCCATATCAACCTTGAAATGTATAGATGCAAAGAAAAAGGAGTATATCCATATTTCGTACTAGCGACTATAAAGATTTTCTAGAGTTTGTAAAATACTCAATGTATCACATTTTTTTAAGCTTCAAATTTCATAACTACGGTTGGAAATAGATCTAAAAGCTATATTAAATTTTTCCAGCACCAGAACCGCACGTTCAAGCAGGGTTTTAAGGTGCGCTTTACTTTGATTGTTTAAAATATAAAATACCCACAAGGTATATGAACCAAATATGATAAGTGCTCATTGACATGCTACTCCTATAATTAACCCTATCCTACTCACTCAATTTCGGAGTTTTAATTTTTGTTAAATACATGTCATATTCCTACGTCCCTGCCAAATACTTCTATGTATTGTAATTCCTCAAATGAAGGGTAATAAAAGATTATACACATACTACAAAGTTTACACGACACAAAATATAGAAAAAACACTCAAACCACCTCAAAACCTCGATGAGCTAAATCAACCAATTTATCAACAAAGTGGTAAACTTCAAACGTTTATTTCATTCAAACTCCTGGACTATTTCATTCAAAATATCCAAAGTGCAAATGTTCTAATTCGAAACTCCAAACAAGCAAAGGCATTTTGGTAATTGTGCCCCCACTTAAGCACCCTTATTTCCTGTTCAAATCCTACCACAACCTTATTTCCTGTTCAAATCCTACCACATGATTGTCAATCAAAATCTCTTGTTTCAGGCTTGAAATTGCAGAGACATTTGGTTACTTCACCCACTAGCACTATGGGTCAAATTACTAAAAATTTTCTAACAAAATACTTTGACCAATTGAGTAAATTGATTTTATTGAATTAATAATTTTGTTGATATATTGGTTCATGTAACCACCGTAGTGTGGTTTGATGATTTAATGTGACACTCAAACATTCACATATTTGAGGGCATACATAGCCAAACCCAAGAGCCAGCTCCTGCTGCTTTTTGTTGAGTGAGACATCTGGGGCACAGGAAGAGCCACCTCAGATTCATCATGCACCATGAATCAGACTATGCTTGTAATCTGCATTCCTGTCAGATGTATTTCAACCTAGCCAATCTTCATCATTGCCGTTAGTGGCCTGGAGAAAAGAGGAAGCAAAATCCCCCAATTTTAGACTTTATTCTCCCTAACTGGGGTTTACAACCAATATTTATAATACATTAACTAGCTATTAGTCAAGATAAGAAATGTAACCAACATTCATCGTATCATCCACAAGCTATATTAGTCAAGATATGGACATGTAATAAATGCATTACAATATCATGTACTAGCAATTAATCAAGATATGAACATGCAATCAAAATTAATAATATTACTCAGCGGTAATGATTCAAGATATGAATATGCATGGACCAGCTATCTTTAGCGACATCTTATCCTTTCTGCAGTCTTAACTTTAACATGGATATCCCGTATTGCATGATGAGAGTGGATCACAAGCATTTAATGAATGAAAAAGGAAACTGCAAATGTTTTTTTTGGTTATGCAAAGAAAATTACATTGAAAACTTATAACACACTGAATAAAAGAGAAGAAAATCATGCCCTCCAAACTTTCTTTACAAAAATACTTCATGACTAATAAGTAAAATGACTACCCAAAAAACAAAAAAAAGAACTGGTAAGAATGGGTTATACCTTAGATAAAATGCATAGTTGCATGCATAAGCAAGTTATTCATCACCAGCCTTTAAAAACATGAGACGGGCTCTGACAAGCAAGGGTCCTGAGCCCAAGAGGCTGACATGGCCGAGTCGGACTGCCTGACTCGGCCAAGTCTCACTCAACAAATATAGAAAATTTAGGACTTGGGTCAAACTCACCCTATATTTGGGGTTGGCATTCAGACCACCACCTTGCTGAGTGCAAATGTCTCTGGCAAGATGGAGCCCAATTCAGCAATTTTTTTCTCACTGCTCATCAGTTGTCAGTCATAAAATTCATGTGGGCTATTCGTGGTGTGCTTCTATTACTTCTATTCAGTAATATTTGAGTTAATAGCCTTTTAATATTTTAAAATAGTATCGCATCCTACTCCCATTACTAGTAAGCACTGAACTTTGTGGATTAGAGTACTTGTTCCCATCCAGACATTTCCCAAACTCCCTGCTGACAACAGGAAAGGGGAAAATGCAACATCCAGCACAGTCTAGAATGCAATGATTGAAAACTCAAAAAGGAATCTTAAAACTATCAAAATCCTACAGCATTTTCTATGAAGGGCAAATTGCACCTGCGAGTCACTTGAGATCACTTCAACATCATCATGATCCACCTGAAATTCACATCGGAGCAATCATTTGATGAAAATAACTCTGTATTTATGTATGGACATAAGCTTGCCTGCAAAAAACCTCCACCGTCCAAGATTGCAGTGGGTCCCTGCAATCTCCACAGTCCAACTAAGTTTGATGGTGGAGGTTTTATGCGGGCATGCGAGCTTGCCCACCTGAAATAGTTTACCTTTATGTATAGACCAACAAACTAGGCCTAGCCTAACAAAGAGGAACCCAAATTAAAATACAGATTTAAGAATGGGTTACACCTATCAAAAAACTGCCAAATTTGTAATGATAACTAATAATATAAATTACTGAAATTTATTCTAGAATTGTAGCACAATATATATTGTAAAGCATGGACACGTACCTTTGATGGCTTTTGTCTATTCACATGTATGGTCCCTGCAATTTGAGATGCTACAAAGTCAGAAGAATAATTCCTGTATGTCCCATATATTCAGAAAACATATAAAAAGTAAAAGCATTTGGAGGCAAAAAAAAAAAAAAGCACAAAAACAAACAAAAAAGCAGATCGAAAGTTCATTGAAGATAGAATCTGAACTCATACAAGTGCGAGTCATTAGCTCTCCAATATCCATCAATAATTTTGTGAGAAGAAAAAAGAAAAAAATAATTGGAAGCAAATCTAAGAATATAAAGTAGGAAGCCCAAAGACAGTTACAGGACTTCGTTTTATTTAACTTTTACAATCTATTCAAAGGTCTACCTTAATATCTATATGCTTAAAATTGGAAGCATGAGGATGGCATGAAGATGTTTAAAAAAAATGGCCTAGAATGATGCCCATAACCATCCATATAAGAATGTGGATTTTCCTTTATCCGCCCTAGCCCCGACAAGATGCCTCAGCCAACAATCAAAGAAGTTATTTCAAAATCCATTAAGAAATTTACATTAACATACACAATAATTTACATTGTACGACTAAACTAAACAGAAACTGAAAATAGAAATCAAGTTTTAATGTCTATGCACTGCCACACCATAATTTAAATTGTACATTTGATATAAGCAGAAACTGATCTGGGATAATATACACAGGTAACAGCTTAGAAGTTACTGCTGAGGCATGTATTTACAGACATTTAAAATAATTGTGAAGAAAGTCACAACAGAAAACCGACACTAAGGTTAAAGGAAGTTTAGATACCCACAAGTATCGGTCTTTACGCGTTTATTGGTATGTGTCTCTTCAATCTGCAACACCAATATGATACAGGAAGTTTTCATCAAATGGAAATGCAAGGTCACCATAAATCTCATAAACTCCATTGCCCATGCACATATTATACTACTCTGTGTGTGAGTAAGCTATGCACGTGCAGCATCTAAACTAAGCAACTTTGTTAGTGTCTTTCCTACAACCAATAAACGATGAATTTTATTCATCCAAAATAAATAAATAAATAAAAGATAAATTTTGTTGAGAAAGCCAATAGAACGTTATTGATACACACAGAAGAAACCTTAAATGAATATCCAGACAAATAGCAGTTAGAGGTTCCTCAGCTTAAACAGTGAAAATAAAATGATCCAATGAACCATTGAAACACTAGGCCATTGGGTCATTACAGCCCATTGAAATGGTTAACAATCAAGGACCACCATGACAGGACATGATTGGTTCAGCTACCATCACTTCATTGGATAGTGATGGCCCAATAGAGATTGGTTTCTCCAAGTTCATAGGAATATCTTATACTCCCCATTACGAAAACCAAAGAAGAGTTGGCCACATGGCTGGCATGCAGTGTAGGAAAAATCAGGAGCTCAGGACCAAAGTACCATCTTACTTTTGATTTCCGTGGACTCTGCCTCCTTTCAAAAGAAGCTGGGTAACATCATAATACAAAGTAGTTAGCAAATAAAGGCTTGGTACCTGAAGCAAGTCAGAACTTAGTTAAAAGACCTACACATGCATACCCTGATTAGCCCAAACAGCTCTAAGGAGAAAAATGGCACCTTTTATTGCTGACGAGGCCTTTACATTCTTCTTTGGCTTCTGCACCAAAAAATAAAAAGGTCAAAAATCCATAGCATAAGTTTCCATTGTATTATATGGATGGAGCTTTTCTTGAAATGCCAAAATAACTGGATAAGAAAAATAAGGAAAATTTAGAGCCCTTGCATTTGAATCGCTTAAGTGTAATATATTAGAAAACTATATTAAATAGAGACCAAAATTTCTACTCAAGTATTTCTAGTTCACCCCTCAGCCAAGTTTGTAAGTGCAATCCATTAGGTCTACGAATTCTTTTGAAATGGATGTATAGTTCCAATCAGTTGATGTAGCCAAAACTTGAATATTTGTATGGATCCCACCAGCCATACAAGGAAGTGCTGTATGTAGCATGGATAGCCAAACTGCATTAATCCCTAGTTCCACTTTAATGATTTTTGTCATGAATTACCTGTTCATCCACTTTGTCAAGAAAATTGGACAAAGTAGCTTGTACAAGACTGACTTTTCTCTTAATATCACGCTCTTTAGATTTTCCCAAGGACGAAGAAGGCGGTTTAGCTTCAGCTTGCAAATGGCCTTTTTTCTTGCCATTCTCATCCTTGACAGAATGAGGGTCATGGACTGTCAAATTGGAACCCTGTCAGTTCTCAGGGACAGGAGATAGAAATTTCACTTAAATGGAAGCATGCACATAAAGCTTAATGCAATCTGAATAGTCAATGTAAAGCAACTAAATAATGACTTGCATATAGGGACAACAGTGTTTTTGCAAGTTTTAGGGGTAACTATACAAGTTTTTTTTTCAGTTTTGTGATGAACCGCCTCTTTCTTCACATCAGGCATTTTTTCTGTTTCTTCCTTTGTTTCATGCACTTGTTCTGTTTCAGATAACTCTGAGCCACTTTCTTTACTGCGAAAATCATCTCCAGAAGAGGAATCAACATATCTGCAGCAGCAAATACAATACATAACAATCACTTTATGAAACATATAAAGAGCGCACAACCACAAAGAAAACAAGTGTATAACAAAGAGCTTGGCCATCAACAGGAAACTTAATGATTGTATCATATATCAAATGTTATATCTCATAGTTAATATGCGAAGTAAATCCAATGAGACGTTGGACAAAGCACCAACAAAGAAGAAACTATTATAGCACAAACTGGAGTATGGGGATAATATGAAAGTTGACCTTCATATAAAGTTAACCTACCTATATAAAACAAAGGCATTAACTGAAAGTAAAAAGATAACTCCTCCTAATTCAGGACATATGATGGTGGTTTTGGTTATAAAAAAGAAAAGAGTAACGAAACCACTTCATACAAGAAAAACATTTCAATAACCTCAGTATCAATCAACATTGTGAACGCTACCAAATTCAATAACCCTCATTGAGAATCAACCTTTCCTCAAAAACTACTCGAATTCATCTAAAAGAATCATATTCAAAACAAATTAATACTTGAATGTTCTCCCGGCTGTTCTTGCAGAATGTCGAATAGGAGTCAGAATCTCCTCCTGTGCGCCATTTGAATTCTCACCAGACAAAGGGCTAGAATTATCAGAATCGTCGATCTCAAACTTAGTCTTAGGAGAAAGTGGTTCATTGGGTTTAATTGGGCCTGATTTCTCTTTGGTTGTTGCCCCAACCCCACCTTTGAAATCAAAATCGGAATGAATGGCCTAGATAAAGAAAGCACTATAAGTTTTCAATAATCAAAATTTGCTAAAAAACTCAGACAACACAAGCAAAAGAGTAATACCAAACTAGTAAGGAGAAGAAATAAACACATTGAAAGGGAAGCAAACCTCAAGTTCCTTAGGGAACTCAAGCTGGAGCTCCTCGGGGTTAGCTTCTTTCTTTCCGATCCACCATGCATCAGAAAATACAACCTACCAAAACAAAAGCATAGAAACTGAGAATCGAGAAGATGAATTTTATGAATTAGAAACCAGAAGGTTTTCACACACCATAACTACCAGACACGCAAAAACCCACTCACCCGAAAAAAAATGTTCCAAATTACTAACCAAGTTCTCAAATGAATCCTCACATGATACGTTCTTAGACCCACGAGCAAATTGAAGTGTCAAGTACTTGTTCTTCGGATACACAATAGTTCCAAAAAGCTTCATCCGACCCTGTCATCAACGAATTTCATAATAAAACCATAATCCCAATTCATAAATGCAACACAATAACAAAAGTTATAAAATAAAACAAATTAAGACGCTTCACAACCAAAAATAAAACCCATCTTAGCAGTAATTAGTAACTGAACAAATAATCAATGAAATGACAAAGAATATAACTAGTGAATCTTGTGATCATTCAACAACGAACAAAGAATAATCTGAAACCGGACCATCCCAAACATCAGAAAAACCTAATTGAAGACTAAATAAATACAAACCCTAAGATTCACAGACAGAGAAATTAAGACCAATGGTAAACTAAACTTCAAAGTTCAAAATATTAATGAAATGAGTAAGAACATGTCTGGTGAATATTACGATCAATCAATAATGAACAGAGAATAGGCTGAAAAGGACCAACCCAAATATCAACAAAACCTAATTAAAAACTAAATCAAAACAAACCCTAAGATTTATGGAAAGAGATATTCGGACCAAATGGACACCAAACTTCAAACTTCAGCCTTTCAAGTTATCAACACTGCTATGAAAAACCCGTACAAACCAAAATTTGAAGAAAGATGCATGCCACTTCATTATGAAAACCTGAGGAAAATCGATATAGAGGATCGGATTCTTCGACCCTAAATCTGCAAGCTCCCCAATCTTTCCACCACTAACAGGCGCCAAAAGGCCTGGGAAAGCAAAGAGAAATTTGCTTTTTCGGTGTCCCTTTTTCACAATGTCACGCCCATCTTGTTTGGTGACCATTTTCGAAGGTTCCAGAGGACTCGAGGGCTTTGCAGGAGCTCGGGATAGAAGTTTCTGAGATAAAGCGAGATGCTTAAGCTTCTTTCTCTCTGTAACTTCTCTATTTTCAGGTAGATTTTCGCCATTTTCAGCTGATTTCGGAGCTCGAACCATTGGTGATTTCAGAGAAGAAGAGTGCAACCTGAGACTTTGAACACGGAAAGAAGAAAATCCCGCTAATTGTATACTGTCAGCAATTTCGATGGGATTGTGTAGTATGATACCGTTTCATACAGTATGCTCACAATAGTCGGAGTCGTAAGGATTGAAAACAAGTAAAATTGTTTCACGCGGGCTGGACCGCATTTCTACATTATTGTTCTTAATATCATTATTAGTTTTAATTTTCAATTTTTTTTTCTTACTCATGAGTTCCATGCTAAAGATTATATATTCTTTAAAAATCAAATTATATTTAAAATATATATTTACTGTCAAGCCTGCATTGCTACAATATGCAGGCTGGTGCTGCATAAAAAACCGTGTCCTTGAAATAATTCTCACCTGTAGTAGGGCACTAGAAAACGCGCCTAGTCTGTGCTGGGCCATATAATTTTGGCCCAGGACCGACCCGGTCCCAAGCATGTCAAGCCAAGAAAAAAAGAATTATGAAAGAGTGATATGTACGTGGGGTGCAATTTGTATAGAGCCAAGGCTCTAAACAATTAAAGTAGAGCGCGCCTTAAAATAGTATCGAGAAATGTGGTTTCAATACTAAAAATCTCTGTGATAGTTTTCAAATATATTTTTATCTCTAATTATAAAATTTAGATCGAGCAGATCTATGAAAACTTAAAAAACTGACGGTTAAAAAATGCATTACAAGATGCACTATTTCCAAAACTTGAAATCTATTTTTTTTCTCATGTCTATGCATCTTGATGTCGAGATGATCAATTTGAGGATATTTGAGTATAAAAACCTCTCCTAGTGAAAGTTTTTGAGATATGCTCTAATTTGACTGTTTTGTGACTCGGCTCTATATAAACTTTTTCATATATGTGTGTGCCTATGTCGTGCTTGCACTATGACTATAATTGCATGTGCATTAGCAATACTTGGACCATGTGAAAAATAACTTCAAAATATTCTTTATATTTCATTTATTTTACATAATTAAATATATTCTTGAACATTTCTATGTCATACCTGAATTTTTCAAATGTTTTTTCAACTTTTCATAATTTATTTAATTTATTGACCATATATTTTCTTAGCAAATACGCATTTTAGTCTTTTTTTTCATAAGTTTTATTTAAATTTACATAATTTATTTTTTGTTAAACTCTATCTATTTTCTAATCCAACTTAATTTATTTTATTTGCTAAACTCTTATCTATTTTCCTTTAGTAATACAAAATAAGTATATGTAGATTGCGCAACATTACACTTTTTGTATTTATGTAAACTTAATCTTATATATATTATTTCCATATGGTTGCAACCGTAAACAATCCCACTACGGTGCACCTTCAAATTTTATCATAATGTATAATTTTTATGTAAAATGTTTTTGAGATTATCTCAAAATCAATTTTTATATCTAATTATAAAATTTTAAATTTCAAAAATAGTTAAAATCAAGTAAATCTATAAACATATGAAAATCTTGAAAATTGACGGTGTAGATAATATGTTGTAAGATGCACTATTTCTAAGACGCAAAATCTTTTTAATTTTCATAGTCATACATCTCAATGTCGAGATGATCAATTACAAGGTTTTTCAACATTAAAACAACTTTTTTCGATGAATTTTTTAAGTGCATCCGTAGTTCTATATTATAAGGTTGCAAGCTTATATAAACTTTTTCGTAAAATTAAAGAGTGTTAAAGTATGAGTATGAAATGTTGTGTGAAATTGAAGCATTAATTTACCTTGTCGTGGTTGGATTATTTTTCCTGCTTGGATCATTTATTTATCATTTGCTTTTATTTTATTTACGTTGAGAGCTGAGGAATTAATGTGTTTTTCTAAAGGAAAATTGTTTAAGGGGGAGGGGGGGGGGGGGGGGGGGGGGGTCGGGGGGGGGGCGGGTGTACGGCCATTCTTACATATAGTCGGTACGTAACTAAGTAGGTCAGAACATCACTACT